CACTTGATAGAGTTAATAAATGCCAGTATTTGAATCGAAACTGTGTTTTATTTCCTTCTACAATGTTATATAACAATTTATTCATAGATAAATGATTGGTCTCGCTTCAAAGCGATTCTATGAATTCATTATTATAGCTATTTTATCAAGATAAAAGAATAACGTTCTCGATTGTCATCAAGACGTTGGCATGTATTATCTATACATGTTACTCTTTGGGTTTGCATGTTGTCGTGCTGGCTGAATAGCAACAGTTTTTATCACACTTTCGATATAATTCTTTGGATTTAAATCACAGCGAATCTCCATACCATAGCATGGTGATACTGCTCCAGTGTTGTGCCCTGAAGAGAAGGACACGAAAGGAATGGTGACGTTTTTGGGTTTTTTTTAGCATTGAACTCAACCAAGTTCCTGGTACCCCATTCAGAAATGTAGTCCAAAGCCTAATCGAGTTCAATGACAAGATTTTCCCGTTTCTCCTTGGTTACCGCCTGTCCACCCGCTGCTTGTCCGAGATACCGCGCATGCACTGTACTATCGTCTGCATAGCAATGAATAATCCCAAGACGAACTAAGTCATTGATATGCAGCAGAAAGAGAGTGGAGGAACACCGGCATTCACTGACATGAACCGCGAACTGCTACCATTCGTAAGGATACGAATTCTACGCTCATGCAGGAAGTCAGCTACCCAGGAACAGAAGTGGGCCGGCAGACCGTATGCCGGAAGCTTGGAGAGAAGGTTTTTATGCCAGACCCTGTCGAAAGCCTTGGCAATGTCAAGGCTGATAGCTAATGTCTCGCCATGCTTGTCGATAGCCTCACCCCAGATATGAGTCAAGTAAGCTAGAAGATCACCCGTCGATGGTTTCGATCTAAAACAATGCTGACGATCATTAATCAGAGAGTGATCCTCTAGGTAGTGGGTCAAATGGTTATTAAGGACCTTTTCCAAGACTTTACATAATACTGAGGTGACTGCTTTTGGCCGGTAATTGGCCGGGTCTGAGATCCCCTTTTTTGGGCACTGCTCGCACGTTGGCATCTCTTCAAGCCTCCGGCACACGCCCCAAAGAATACGAGCTTTGGTACAAGCGCGTAAGCACGGAAGACAACTCTGCTGCACATTTTTTAAGTACAACAGCTGGGATGCCATCGGGTCCACTAGCTTTCCGGACGTCGAGTGATTGCAATTCGGTAATATATACAGATACTCATACAGATACACACATATACACACACAGTTTGAATTAACTTTGATTATTTAAAAAAAAACTACAATAAAACGAGAGCTTTAAAAAAAATTCAACAAAAAATAATATTACTAACGATAATATTTAAATAAAACATTTCGATCAATGCCAACGTAAAGAAAAACACTTGTTAATTTTCTGTCACTGAGTTGGTATCGATTGCACGCATCACACGAAAACATTACTTTTGAGAGTGCTTGATTGTGCGAAGCGTTGCTGTAGTTGAAACATTCAACGTTAAACATTATGCCGCATAATGCGCTGTAGTGCTGTAATTGGAAAACTACAATAAGCACACACATACAAATGGAGCTAAAGAAGTTTCACTTCACCGTACCCTTCGACTACACTGTTTATTTCTCGCGCTTGTTTTCGGAATCTGAATCTGAATCTGAGTGCACTCTGGCCGCACCCTAAGGTTGTTTATTTTTTTTTATCTAAGGTTGCTGCTTTTTCCATAGTAACACTACTCATGACGTTGACATTTCTTTGTTTCCTTTTCGTGCTTTTCTGTCATTTCCATCTTTAGGGTCAAAGGGTAAAAAAACTTAACCCTATTGCTGTCACTCTGTCGTCTGCCTGAATGTCCTTATGTAAAACGGGTGTCTAGATAGTAAATGGAATGAGTTACAGAACTAAAGTTTTGGTATTTTATGTAGAATGTTTGTCCAAAGCCGAATATTTTGTTAATTTTTATATGCCTTTATTAAACAATTATTATTAATATTAATTTTCAAACAGTTCATGCGGGGTTCCATACATGAAAAGGAGTTTTTTACCCCAGCATACCATATGTCATTGTCTGGAGCTCGTTGAGTAGGATATAAATGTATTTTATATTATTTTATTTTTTAAAGAAATGGGGACTGTCAATGTTGTAATATTTTAACATTTTTTTTACGGGGTCTGTATCAAAATCGAAACTAGTAAAGAATGTGAAATTTTGGTAATTTATGTAGAATGCTTGCCAAAAGCCGAACATTTAGTTAATTTTCAATCAATTCATGCAGGGTTCCATAAATTAAATGGAGTTGTGTTTTTTTTTTTTGTTTTTTACCCCAGCATGTGATACATCATTGTTTGGAGTTCGTTGAATAGGATATAAATATATTTTTTTTACTAACAAAGAAATGGGGACTGTCAATGTTGTCATTTTTAGACCATTTTGTTACGGGGTCTATCTCAAAATCGAAACTAGTAAAGAATGTGAAATTTTGGTAATTTATGTAGAATGCTTGCCAAAAGCCGAATATTTAGTTAATTTTCAAACAATTCATGCAGGGTTCCATAAATTAAATGGAGTTGTGTTTTTTTTTTGTTTTTTACCCCAGCATGTGATACATCATTGTCTGGAGTTCGTTGAGTAGGATATAAAAATATTTTTTTTTACCAACAAAGAAATGGGGCAATGTTACCATTTTTAGACCATTTTGTTACGGGGTCTATCTCAAAATCGAAACTAGTTAAAAATGTGAAGTTTTGGTATATGATGTCCCATGTGCTGTATTTAAACAACAAAAACCGATTTAAAGTTTTTTAGAGAAACCAAGAAACATTTACTGCACCCCAAAAAAAATGATAACGCTTACGATTTTTTTTAAATCGGCGCTTTTTAAATTATATAACTAATAATAGTTAAAATACCATAAGGTATTTTTATCTGTTTTATGTATGTTAATATATCCTAAAAATAAATTTATTCGAATGTTACAGCCAACATTGTTAAAGTTCATGTTTGCATGGGGAAATATTTTTGAAAAAAATATTTAAAGGTTTTTTGCGGAAATTTTATAACCTATGTCGCTGTCAGAATTAGGTGGTAAAGTTTCTCAGGTAATTCACGGTGTATTTTGAAACACTTACTTATTTTAATTTTCAATCTTATAAATAACATTTTATTTTACTATGAAACATGTGCACTAATCATTGAAAAAGTATTTATATAGGTATCTATGTTAATATAACACGTAAACAGAAGTCATAATCGACATTAATAATGTAATGGTTGGTGAGGTTTCGATGACCTCTATAGATTGCGGTTCACACTGCCTAATAAGATCAATGTCGATGCCGTTGCGCGCAAAGTGGCCATTGCATAATAATGCAATTGAATGAGTTTGGATGCGACTTCGCTAATAATTATAGGTAACACCAAATTGGGATTTTTGGTGCCATATTCATACTAAACTTAGTTCGAGAAGTACATTTGAATCACAAATCCAAACTACCAATTTTTTTCTTATAATAAATTGAAAAACATCGATGGATATGCAATTTTCTCTTTAGTTACACACGAAGTTACTTTAGTAAATGTCAAAAAAGGAAGCGAATAAGCTGGCAGGTGATAAGTAAGGGTACGGCCAGAGTGCACTCAGATTCAGATTCAGATTCCGAAAACAAGCGCAAGAAATAAACAGTGTAGTCGAAGGGTACGGCCAGAGTGCACTCCTGATTCAGATTCAGATTCAGACTCAGAAAACAAAGCGCGAGAAAAAGCAGGCAACCTGCTTAGACTACACTGTTTATTTCTCGCGCTTGTTTTCGGAATCTGAATCTGAATGCACTCTGGCCGTACCCTATGGATGGAGTTTAGTTGTGAGGAAGTTTCTGTTTCATAGAGTTCCGTACCTGTCTGTCTGTGAATACCCTTTATCTCGGAAACGCGTAGAGGTATCGAGTTAACATTAAATCATATACTCAGGTTTACGGTCCCTTGGAGCTATGAAAAAAACAAACGCAACATAAACTTTATGATGCATGCGTACCTATTTTGTACGGAACCCTCGGTGGGCGAGTCGGACTCGCACATATCCTAAATTTTTTCTGTCATCGCTTCTCTCGTCGCGCCATGGACTTATAATTTAAAACATATTACATTATAATAAGTCCATGCGTCTCGCCCATGGTTAATTTCACTATGGTCTACGGGTGTACTCCGTAATATATACCAGTATACTGGCCAGTGCTAATGACGTCATGAATCGTCGCCAGTGCACCGACGTCATAAATCGACGAAATATTAAAAAAAAATGTGTGTGTCGTCAGCTCCGACGCATGACCGGAGTTTACACTCTAAAAACGATTGTCTTTGAACAGACACAAAACAAAATCAAGTCCGAAGAAGTCGGTTACAAGTAGAGATACCTCAGTAATCGTCCCATGGTTTCGAATAGCATAGGTTCCGTGTCACACATTTTATCATCTAACATCAGCGATATTCATCATATATTTTATTATGTATTTCTGGAAACACACAATTTCAAAAATATCACACACTAGTCATCATTTTGTAAATATGTATTATAATTCCATCTGTACTGAAAATCACTATTCCAGAGTGCTGGACACTTACCGGCATTTCTCTATATTCTGTTATTTATTTGTTTTCATGAATTTTGCTCTGATTTTATCTATTTTTAGTTTATTTATTTTATTGACATTTGTGACAACTTAATGTTTTTTATCCGTTGCCATGGCTAAAAGTGAAAGGTGCGCAGATGAGGTTGCACTCAAAAACGTATTCACATTTTTATACACCTCATCAATTAAAAGGAGTTATTTTTGTTCGGATACCATTATTGTTCTTTAAATAAAAAAGACTCGGTCAATCGTCATATTCGTTTTCCCGGTAAAAATATGGTAGCATACCAGTACAATATGGCGTCGGATTCGTGACGTCATTACCACTGGCCAGTATACTGTACTGATGTATATTTCGGAATACACCCTGTATGTCTATATCCTCTTTGGTCTCGCGCATAGAGAAATAAACTAACCAACCATTTCGTGTGTTTGTCTCGCTCGCGCTTTTCAAGCGAGGTGTGGTAGTGTTTTGCATGTGTTTTGTATCGGCTTCCGAAATGTCTAACAAAAGAAACAAGGACATCCAAGACCAAGAAAGTGATATTGATGAAGAACAGGACTCGGGAAGTGAACGAGACTCAGATCTTGATTCGGATGGAAATTACGTTGGCGACAAAGTGAGTATCAAACAAAAAGTAACCTCAATCACACATGGCGATTAATTGATAAACTAACCAATGTAGTGTATCGGTAACTACTACCTATATGTTTTTCTTTTCTATCAAAAGAAGGTAGTTAAAAAAGGTTTTTAATACCTACTTTTAACAAACTTTCCTTTACCAGCAATGTAAACCAGCATGCAATAAATAAGTTTCGTATTTCGAGTCAAACAATGAGTCGTTAACTAGCTATTGTTTTCACATCAAGTGTATGTACGAATTTAGTCACAATATTTATTGATTTTGTGAGACTGATACAAACCAGCAAGTAACAATAATGCTGCTGTTTGCTCAGGAATGACAAACGCACACCTATGTACTTTATAAATTCTTTTGTTTGAAAGAAGATGTAATACATCTTGTGGTCAATCTTGCTAGTTACAAAAATAATAAAGAAGGGATACTTAATCTCTTTACCAAGATGTGTAATTGAGAAATTATTGTGCAAGCCATAGCAAATTTTCTGAGAATCTGTTTTTTTTTTTTTTTTTTTTAATTTAATTTATTTAATCAAGCAATATTACAATTATAATACATATTTTAGTGCAAACAAAAACCAGAAAGGTTTATTCGTGCACTACATTCACCGCTTTACATCTAGTTACAATAAATAAATATAGGTTGTCACACTGTAGTAACTATCATTACATAACAATATTTTATAAAATAAGTGGGTATGTTGAAAATAACAAACATTGGCATGACAAATAATTTGCACTCGCACGAATCTATACCGGTTGGGTAAGTTTTTTTTTAACTAGCTAAGCATACAAGTCGAAATGCAGTTATCGTAGATAAAGGATGCTCCAATTATAATGATAAATATGACTTTTTTTAATGTTTTTATTTTAGGTTCGTTGTAACGGTTATTTTAAATGAATTATTTTTAATTTATTGATAAAGTGACTTTTTAATGTGCGTTTTATGTTTCCTTTATTTAGTGCGTTTTTTATTTCAAATGGTAACTTATTTACTAAATTTGGAACAATGAATTGTAATGTTCGTTGCCCATATAGGTTATTTGATTTTGGAATTAATAATTTATTATTTGCAACGCCTCGAGTTAACTTACTATGAGATGAAACCTTTTGAATATCAGTATTGAAGAATTGTTCTGTTAAGATGTTATATTTAAATTTCTCCTGAACCGGCATCAATGAGCAATAAGAGAACAATACGTGTTGAACATATTTTTATAAAATAAATAACTTTGAAACAACCATTAATAAAATTACAACAATTTCTATTTTAGGAGCTGCAAGCTGACTTTGAAGGACGGAATCCTGAGGATTGCGATTTTCATGGCATCAAACAACTGCTGCGTCAGTTGTTTTTGAAAACCAATGTTGATTTAGGAGCTTTGGCTGAAATTATTATTTGTAAGTACAAAGTCCAGTTTCAAGATTCTTTTTCCAACTTGTAAATTAATTAAGTCTAAACAGAGTAGAAACTATGGAAACAAAATAATATTGTACTTTCTGTTACACCAACCAGTTTTTTGTATATTTTGTCATATCATTGCATGATGCTTACAATATAAAAAAATATATACATAAAATAATTGTCAGTCTTTGTTTTTCCCTTTCATAGAAAAATGTTTCATTGTGTGGGAAAGCTCACATCTATAAAAATGCCAATGATTTTTTTAAATTATATTTCATTTGGTTGTAATCATTTTGTAGCACAGAACTACATTGGTAGCGTTGTGAAGCAATGTCTGGATGAACCAGAAGAAGATGACGAAGACGATGATGGCAGCGATGGAGTATTCGGGATCACCACTGTAATAAATATTACCAAGAGAAAAGTAAGTCTTAAGAAGAAAATTAATTAACAATTATACAAAACACCTTTTGAATTGAAAACTTCTTTAGTATAGTTGTGACTTGATATTCAATGAAACGGAAGAAGAGTATTTGATGCAAAATAGGTATCCATATAAGAGACAGATAGCCAAACGGTCTTGCGGTCGACACCAAATGATCAGTGGGTCAATTCTGAGCTATTTTTTATTACTAAGCCTTTATTTATTTTTTGAAACAATTTAAGCATAAAATATTTAATTTTGACCTAGAGAGTTGAATTTTTACACAGGTGTCATAAAGGATTTTTACATGTTCACATTTTTGTAGCTTAAACTTCTATTGCATGTGAATAGCACATGTCGTTTTTTTATGCAAGTACATTTATTAAATTTCTCAATTTCATTATTTCAGGATGAAAAGTGTATTGAACAGATCAGAAGCTTACTGATAACCCTGGCTGAAGAGAATGCTAACGACAAAACAAAAGCATTAATCAAAAAGATTCTTGCAGATGACTCCACACAAGTTGGTTTCATTATAAATGAAAGGTAAATGATACTTATTAGTTTGAATACTAACCAAAATTCACCGTTGCACATTTTATTTTGGTTTGTCTTCAAAGCATCTGAGTAAATTTGATAGATACAAATAAAACATTCTTATAAACATTGATTTTCTTTACAGGATCCTCAACATTCCAGCTGCAATTAGTGTTCCACTGTTTTCATCATTGCAGTCTGAATTAGATAAAGCAGTCCGAAAAAACATGCCATACACATTCCAGTACCTAGTGTGGATATGTAAAACCTACAATACTGGAGGTCAGTTTTCTTCATAATTATAATTGACATAGCACACCAACATACACCACACATGCACAAAATTTTCTTGACTAATGAAGGAAATTGCTTAAAGTTAAAATACAATAAAATTGTAATTTTGATACAGAGCAATCATCGGAAGTGTTATTTGCGAATCAAGAAGAGAAACCAATAGCAGATGAGGCCCTAGCTAGTTTTGATGTAGATGTGACCGAGCAAGCTGATCTCTCACAATGGGATTATGAGGGAGGCGCTTTGACACCTTGCAGAAAGGTATGAATCATATTTATTTTAAACTTAAATACAAATTTTTCATACATACCTACCTATATACTGTTTCTAATAAGCCATTGCTGGAAGAAATAATCAAACCATAGTAGCTAGCAGACCTCAATGGCGGAGTGACCAGTGCTTTAGGTCTGCAAACATGGAAGTTAAACAATTTTCTCAATGACCAGTCGTAGTCAAAGTCACCCACCAATATGCACTGGGTTACTTTGGTGGTTGTGGCCCAATCGCGATATTCCATTTACAGAGAAGGTCTGTACCCTATCTGTGGGTACAATAGCCAGATTATGTTGCTGTTGGAGTAGATTTATATTATAAAATCGCAATATTTGCTCATTAACCATGATAGTCATCTCTTTTTGCTTATATTACTATTGTAATGGGAATTTAGGTTAATACTATTACCAGTAGAGTGTAATATTAAAGAGCTCATCTTTCTGTTCCAGATTCTCATTTTCGACGGCTTGAAGTTCAATCACCTAGTTAGACTTATAAAGGAAGAAGTGGAGGCTGTTTAATTACTGTGCTTTACTATATCACTGTGCTAGCGACATGTATGCCAATATGCCATTCAATACATTGTATTTATATTTTTATTATCACTTAATATAAGCTTAATGTTTAAACAAAAAATTGTTTCAATTTACTCTTAAATCAATTCAAATCTTATGGCTCAATTACACTTGGTTGTTAGACCGTATTTGGATGCACAAAAGACATTACTGGAATTCAGGCACCCAAAGCAATATTTACACTGGAAGACGAACTAAAACTAAAACTACACAAATATGGCTGAAATGAACATTGACAATGCAGTGAAACAGCTAAATCATTTGATGGTAATAACTTTGACTCCTTGTGTAAATTTTTGCTATTCAGTTAGGTAATGGTTTCATAATATAATTTCATGTTTACTTTGCAGGAAAAATTGATAAATTTATAGGTTTTTAACACTAGCAACTGTAAAGTCAAATACTGAAGGTATACAGTTGATTTTGTTGGGCAGATTTCGGGTGTATTCCGAAATATAAACCAGTACGCTGGCCAGTGGTAATGACGTCAAGATTTCGACGCCATATTGCACTGGTGTAGTAGTAGTGTTGTCAATATGGCGTCGAAATCATGACGTCATTACCACTGGCCAGCGTACTGGTGTTTGATTCGGAATACACCCTTCATGTTTGTTTCCATAGTTATTTATGTTTTTAGAGTTAATAGACAGCCAATAGGATTTTAAGAATTATTTTTATCGTTTTATATAGCGTTGTATATCGTTTTCTATTAGCGTTGCCCGCACCTACGCTCGCGTTAATATTGATTTAAACAATTGAATAAAGCAATGTAACAGCTCGGCTCGGCTCTACTCCGCCCAGCGCTGAACCGCTCGTTCAGCATGACAACGCTCCGCTCTGCCCAGCTTATCTCCGCGCTATACATTTTAATGTTATTCTTCTCCGGTTTCCACTAAAACGGAGAGGGGATGAGATGTGTATTTTTAGCAATGCGATAGGTATTTTTTTAAAGGCTGCTTAGCGTCGCGCAGCTTCGCTTATGTGGAAACGCATGATTATTTGCGCACGCACCTCTTTCAAAGTATCAGTGTTGATTTTGCTAATGATTTCGTTTCTTGGTATGACGATCCCTCTTGCGCATATATTGATTTAAATTTTGTTGTAAGTCAAGATTTATTTGATCATTATGGTGTTTAATTTTATTATGGGTAACTTTGGCTATAACTAATATCCAAGTCCAGTCAAGAGCCGCAGTATAACTAGCTGCGGCTCTGTAAAGTTACTTGAGGCCGCTACATTTTACACGGCTTAAGCCTTCTTGGCTGATACTGACAGAATTTTCTTTTAAGGGGCCGCTTGCGAATTGTTTATGCAATCGGCATCTATTGTTGTCCCAAGCCGACTTGTTCGCAATATTATTTGTATATTATTATTATATTATTTGTAATATACTTAACGGGGCTGCGTCTAGGGTTTCTAAATTTTCTGCTGTGGCGTAAGTAATTTTCATCCCCACGTAAGTCCCGATAATCTTCGGTATCCGTATTCGTTGCGGAATACGGAACTCCTATCTGCATTTCCAATCCTCTAATTTCTACCCCTATTTGTAGAAAACCAATATGCATACTTTAATAACAAATTATGAACAACAAATCTACAAAGTTTAAAGCAAATCGGACAGCGCCGGCGCAATTAAAAGTTTCATACAAAAGTTCCCTCACTTGAAAATAAAGTAAAAAAAGAAGTTTTTGTGAGAAAAAAGTAGCCTATAACCGTCTCAAAGGCCCTATCTATCTGTATAACAAAATTTATAATAATCTATTCAGCGGTTTAGGCGTAAAACAAACACCCACTTTCACTTTTCTTATATATAGTCCAGTCAAATTACGGAAAAAAAAGGGCTAAAAAAACATGAGCGAGCACAGTTTGGGGATTTTGAGGATCGATAGGGGGGTGCATCCTGAGCTTAAGTTCCAATTTGAGGGGCTGTACTGAGGTCAGCTCAAGGTCATTTCGATACAAACGCGTTTAATTCGATATCTCGAGAAATATCAGTGTTAGCCAAAAAATTATAGAGACCTTTTTTCTTCTAAATGAAATTTATTAACTTTTTTATTTAAAACTTTTTTTTGTAACATCAATATTTTTTAAGTTATTACTCCCGCAAGGCAAAAATTTCATTTTTTTCCCTATTTTTCGTCGTTTTCTCCCCAAACATTCAATTTTATTGGATTTTACCGATCATCAACGTGTATATCTTTTAATTATGCACAATTTTGTTCTTAAACTTTTTTCTGTAACTTCAATACCTTCGGAGTTATTCGACCTCGGGTGCTTAATTTTCCGAATTTTATAACCTATTTTTTGTATCAATAAATGTGTGAAACAGTTTTAATTGTTAATTTACTTGTTACCCAAACAAACCCATAAATTTACCCAAATTAAATACCCAATTTTTAAATAGTTTAATCGATTTACCCTTTTATATTGCGACAGTGGCGTGGATTTCGCTCGGTAAAATAATATATAACTCCGAAGGTATTGAAGTTACAGAAAAAAGTTTAAGAACAAAATTGTGCATAATTAAAAGATATACACGTTGATGATCGGTAAAATTCAATAAAATTGAATGTTTGGGGAGAAAACGACGAAAAATAGGGGAAAAAATGAAATTTTTGCCTTGCGGGAGTAATAACTTAAAAAATATTGATGTTACAAAAAAAAGTTTTAAATAAAAAAGTTAATAAATTTCATTTAGAAGAAAAAAGGTCTCTATAATTTTTTGGCTAACACTGATATTTCTCGAGATATCGAATTAAACGCGTTTGCATCGAAATGACCTTGAGCTGACCTCAGTACAGCCCCTCAAATTGGAACTTAAGCTCAGGATGCACCCCCCTAACGATCCTCAAAATCCCCAAACTGTGTTCGCTCATGTTTATTTGATTCCGTAATTTGACTGGACTAATATGCGTCCCACGGCTACCTCACACAGAGAGAAAGTATATTAAATATTGAAGATAGGATATTTTCCTGAAAGAAGACATCGTTTTATTTTTAATAATAATCAGATCTACATTCACAGATTTTTTAAAAATCGCCAGCTACAACTGGGAATCAAACTCGTGAAATTTTGAAAAAAAAACTACGACATATTTTAAGATAACCATCGAAAGGGTTAATCATAAGGATTATTTTTTGCTAAATAACATAGCATTGGACGCCCTGGATTGGATAGGTAAAGAAGGATAGATAGTTAAAAATATGCAATAAAGATATGTTGTTGTACAGGGCTAAACACAATAAATAGATATTGGTTAAATTGTTCTGGCATGATTCTCTAAACTTAAAACTAATTTCATCTTTTCATTCTGTATAGAGAATACAACGGACTGTTGTTAAATTAAAGAGTATCATGTCAGAATCGACAACATTAGTTACATAGAATTAGGTGTTGATGCAAAAAACTGGTTCCATAGTTTCGAGTCGTGGCAGTAGCACATAAATAAAACTCCCATATAGGTAATAGTCCTCTACCGATTTTATTAGTGATATAGTAAACCTAAAATACATGATTGATGCTTAGTCACTAAATTCTTTTACATTCTAAAAAATAGTAGTTGCTGGCCGTGTTTCTTGTTTCATCACACATTTTTGTAAATGTTCAAAGCGTCCCTAGTCAAAAAGTCCCTCAGAGCGCATAGTCCTTTCAATATTTTAGTGTTATTGTCCATCTTTTGTACGTCAGTCTCGGAGAGGCTCTTGTCTTGTGCCAAGTATCCGTTTACAGCTTCCTCGGTCATCCAGTGAGCTGGCAGTTTGTGCATATTATACTGAGCCGGGTCAGGGTTCAGGGGCATTGGTGTCAAAGACTTCTCCCATGGAGTAATGTACTTTTGTTCCGAGTGTAATCCCTCTATGTATCTAGTAGGTAAAAAAGATAAAAATGTTAATACATTAGGTGGTAACCTTAAAGTAATACTCTCAATCAGATGAAGTTTCTAAAATAATAATTATTGTAATACAAATTTCTTCCAGCGACTTCATTGGACATTACAATTAAAAATCCCTTATGAAACTATAACAGCGATAAAATATCAGTAAATCAACCTCTGGACTAATAAATCATATATTTAAATTATTAACAATCCCACAGAAATCTCAAACTTTTTTGGGATAAAAGGTATCCCATGTTGAAACATACAAATTTCATTCAAATCAGTTCAGCTGTTTTTTCGTAATTGAGTAACAAATATATAACTTATACTTTCACATTTATAATATCAGTAGGATGTAACTGACGTTTTATATTTCAATTGTCGCTCAGTGTTTTGGGAACATAGTTCTACATTATAGTGTTATTTGGCTGCAGTCTTCTGTAATATGAAGGATACTTTCCCGGATAGACACTTCTATTCACGGGGATAAAATCTACCGTGTCTTTCATGTTATAAAAGTCTAAAGCAGTGAACAGCAGCTATTCCTTGCAAGGTAACGCCGTGTACAATATCTGCATCTGTAGACCTAGACATAAATAACATAATAAATTTCATAACGCCATATCAGTGACTTGATCGCGGTGCACTCATAGAGGTATAAAAATAGAGTTGGGGAGATATAGACTCTACTACAAGTGGAAGTGTCCCTCTAATAGAAAGAGAAAGAAGATAAGAGATCGCTAGCTTTCTCTCTCAAATCGCGCATGCGCATTGGCAACCGTAAGCATCTTACTATTTCGATGTGATGCTGGGACCAACTATTGGACAGACGACTGCGCATGCGTCACAAGAGAGAGAGATAGATAGCGGTCTCTCATCTTCTTTCTCTTTCTACTAGACGGACACTTTTAGAGCCGCCTTCCCCACTCTATTCTTATACCTCTATGGGTGCACTACGTCCACCGAAAAATGCGCGTTGCAGTTGGAGCATCAAATTAGAACGCTCAAAATAAGCTACACAAGAGCATATAATTTTATTTTATCCAGAAATATATAAAAACATCCATGACTAAGGTACAAATGCTCGTATTCATCATCTAACATTTGCATCACCGGGATTCGAACCCGCGGCTTCACGAGTAGCCGTAGGAAATCCGGGGTATATACGACTCGGCCACGGAGGTCGTCAAATACTCGAAGGCTCGTATTACACAATGACAACCAAGTGCTGATCCCCACTTGAACACAGTTAGAAAGGAATGTCGCTATGTGCTATACAGAGCGACATCCCTTTCGAACTGTACTCGAGCAAAAATCAGCACCCTGTTTTCATTCTGTAATACGAGCCTAAGGCCCGTATTATAGAAAGATTCTCAGTAATTAATCTAAAGTAGAACTTTTTATTAGCTGCAGTAAAATGACGTTTTGTGGGTTACCGCTTTTTGAAGAAAAATAAATAGGGATGTAGCTAAGTGAGTAAGTGAATCATTCAATAAATAAATGAGCAGTTTGGTTTTGTATAAAAGATTTAATATTAAGTTGTAATGATTTTTTATTCTATTATTATTACTACCTATAGTAAAGGATGGATCTTTTTCATTGGAAGTATAGGGACGTACATCCAAAATTAAACAAAGTTATTTATTAATCAATCATTTTCGGAATCACTATCGCTGTTGCTTTCGGTCACACTAATGACAAATCTGTCTGTCACTTCATCTATAATATGATCGAGGTGGCACATTTTGTCTTCCTCTTTTATAGTGTGAGACACACAGTCATTCCACTTAGCCGGTGTCACTTTGTTGATTGCTTCTTGGAATAAAATTTTCACTTCTTGCATTTTATATGTTTTATTATTGTTTGCGACGTGCCCTTTTACTTGAGCCCAAACCAACTCGATGGGGTTCAATTTACAGTAATAAGGGGGCAGTCTTAAAAGTCTGATACCTTTTTGTGATAAAAATGTATCTCCATCTTGTGATATGCTCAACTGAGCATCCATGTATTCGATGTAACAAACGAACAAACGAAAAAAAGCTGACACGATTAACAAAAATAAGTAGGTAACGAAAAACAAACACAACGTAACAAAAAAATATTAACAATGATAACTAAAACAACTCGCAGTGGGCAAAGCAAAGCTATTCGTGCACTCAAAACAGGTGTTAGAAGCCGAATGAGCGAATTACAAATGAAATAAAATGTCGGACAAGCCTCATCGTAGCATCGTAACTAAAAACCAGTACCAACTAGAGATTTTATACAGCCTTTTATTTTTATGAATAATAAATAGAGTTAAGTATGATCATTATGAGTTAGTTATGGATCGATTAGATTTTCTATGAACCTAATCACATCCCTATTGAAATTAGGCGGTCAACATTATTTTACGGAATGACATTTTGAAACGTCATTTTACTGCAGCTAATAAAATGTCGAAGTATAGTCTTGAGTATAGTCAGACGATAATACTATGTATAACACATAGCGACATCCCTTTCTAACTGTACTCAAGCAAAGATCAATACCCAATTGCCATTCTGAAATGCGAGCCTAAGGCCGTAAACAGAAAGAAAGCTGGAAGCCTCCTTACTGGTAACAGTTACATAAAGGAAGCAGATTGAAGCCTAGTGTTCATTAATTTCAAAGGGCGGTGCCAGCGCGTGTCGGCACTTGTCGGAGACGTTCGGCGCTGGTCCATAGAAATGCCTGCGCCGGTCACCGGTAAGGACGGTCGGCTTCCAGCTTTCTTTCTGTATACGGCCTAAGTCTGGACCTGAATTACGCGAACGAGTCCTGGCGCGCGTGTCACTCACCGTATGTACGCCTCCGAGTGTGTGACGCGCTGCGCTCGCGGCGGCGCGGGCACGAACAATGGCTCGAGTCCCTGTCGGGCGCCAGTCACCAAAGCACCCGCTACTTCGCCCGTGCCCCCGCTAGCCCCCGGGGAAGGAGTATTGCGCGCCATCGGCGACAATCCTGAATCACGTACAATTATTATGCGGCAAACTTCTGGAGCAACATAATCTATACATATAATAAAATGGTAGGAAAGTCAAAATTGTACATAGAATATTGTTTTAAAAGAATACTTGGGATGTGATCTACAATCGATACCGAAATATAGTTACATGTTACACAAAAAAAAATTAGTTTTTAGAATTTTTTCCTGTTTGTATGTATGTATGTCCGGGGATAAACTCAAATAGTATTGCATGGATTTACATCAAGTTTGGCATGAATATTACTAAGAAGTCGGGTTCAACATTTAGGCTACATATTATCACCTACGGGGTACGAGCAGTGAACCTTTATTTCTAACTAACTCCACGCGTACGAAGTTACGGGTGGCCACTAGTAGACAAATAAACTTGCGAAGTAGACATTTTTGTATCTAAAATTGCTACTGCGCAGACTTCCTTGTCAAAGGTCGTTGCTCAGGAAGTTTGCCAGGGTGTATAAAATTACAATTACAAAAGGCAGTGAAAACCCCAAGCCTATATATGATCTATAATTTACATTTATTATTGTGTTACTTTACCTCCAGGAGATAAGACTCCACTTCTAGAGCCAATAGCATAAGTTTTCGAAGGCTTCTTTGTAGACGGAATAAAGTTTCTGCAAAGATAAATGTTTTATTTCAATTATAATACACAATTTTTAATTATGTAACTAATAGAAGTAAGTCCATCGTTTTAAGTTAGCGTCAAATCAAATTCAAAGACGAATTCCTCTGATTATAGCTGGAGTATGGTCGCCAATGCCTGAACTATATGGCAAAGTATAACCCGAAAATCATTCGTTAACGACTAAATAGTAAAAACGATAGATACACTGCTTTAGTACAAAAGAGACTTTTTTATCACTTAATAAGTTTCACTATACGGAATCGTATCGACTGAGCTTATTTACACTCGTTCTCCGTTATTAACGAGGAATGAACTTGGATTAGCTACCCTATGTTATGTCTCTGTTCTTTGAATTACAAATGGCATTTAAGTGACATGAACATAACAAGGCGTAACTAGTCTAAGCTTATTCCTCGCTTATTAATAAGGGGATTGAGTACGGCAAACAGGTATGGTACAGTTACGTTTACATTGCTATGCTACTTTTAGTCAGGTATTCCACTTTACCTGCCCCCTAGCGTGAGCACCGCGATATGATATATAGCTCGTTTTTATCACGCTCAATAGGCTAGCTGACTCATGTCGAATTGTTTTAAATAAATGTTTATTTCTTAAAGTATTTGGTCTAAGGAACCTAAATATATCGATTTCACTTCATAAAAGAAGAAGATTGCTGTAGAAAATTAATTTAAAAAAAAATTTTTTAGTCTATTTTTTAAAGACTAAAAACGCTGTTCGCCACTTCCACCATGATTGTGACGTCTCTTGTAGTAAACAACTAAATGTCATTCGTGTGTTACTGTGGGTGGATTATTTTGTCTGACTAAATTTATCTTAAAACACTTTTCACTTTAGAAAAGTTTACGATTACTGTTTTTTTTTGACAAAACTAATTATGGCTGCCGGCTTAGTGAAAGCAGAAAGCACAAATCTGCCAAGAATTGACGCATTGATGGTTGGTGAATTTTTTGCACTAAACCCCGATTTCTGGTCTGCGGAGCAGAGAAACGACAAGACATCTATGTAAGTACAGTGCATTAGTATTACAATGTAGTAATAAACATAAAAGTGATACAACATATGAATAAGTGTAATAAAGTTACGTAGGTAAATTTCTTTCGGCACTTTAATCCACAACTTTCCTGGAGTCTTAAAGGATGTGTTTTATATTCTCGTACAATACAATAATGATAATTACTTTATTTTTCGTGGTATTTAGTAGAAATCATGTTTTTTTTTATTATAAACTCAGATAATTTATTTTCTACGTGCTTACGAGTTTTTGTTTACTACAATTGACGTCATAGCATAGACAATCTATAGACTAAAATGGCCGACAGCGTTTTTGTATGTCCATGAAAAGTCTATTTTAAAATTAAAGATTTGTGGCTTTCTAGGTCTTCAAAAAATACAATACATTTTTTTTCGGTCTAACGGAACATTTATTAACCATTTATAACCTTTTTCCAAAAAGGGTTAACTGCCTATTGTCAAATTAGTATGCAGTTTGACAGTTACGCGTGATAAAAAACGTGATATATTGTAAATTGCGGTGCTCATGCAAAGGGGACTGGACCGCTCGTGTATCGGCTTCGGTTTTCAATACCTCTTATTGATGTGCTGATCCCCCATGTCCCTCAATAGAAGCGGCAAGTTGGGGAATAGCGCTTTATCTTTTGCATACGCGCACGCAATTTCGTCCCATAGACGGATAATACTTTGAGAACGACTTAAACCTGAACTATACTGTATAAATTCAGTTATTCTACTTAACCTGGAGCGCTCGTGTATAGGCATGGGCTTTCCATTCCCCTTGTTGATATGTGCAGATCCCTCACGTGCCTCAGTAGACGCGGTAAGTTGGGGAATAGCGCTTTGCCTTTTGCGTACGCGCGCGCAATTCCGTCACGTACACTGATAATACTCCGAGAACGATTTAAACCTAAACTCTACTGTACAAATTCAGTTATTCTACTTTACCTGGAGCGCTCGTGTATCGGCATGGGCTTTCCATTCCCCTTGTTGATGTGCAGATCCCTCACGTGCCTCAGTAGACGCGGTAAGTTCGGGAATGGCGCTTGCCCTTTGCGTACGCGCGCGCAATTCCTCCACATGCAAGGATACTCGGAGAACGAGCCGCGGTAGTGTTGTTGTACATGGCCCGCTGCCGACGAGCATGTTGGACAAATAAAACAGGTTACAACACCCATTGGAAAGAACACCTTCTTTCCTAGTCTTTCTTCCGACAACCATATTGAGCGAGCTGTGTGTAGCCCGCACTCTGGTCATGGCTTACAATATGGACTAAAATAAACACTTGTCTATCATAACTAAAATATCAGTTTAATAATAATAATACGCAACTCAATGCGGGGTCGTTCAAAAAAGCATTTGTGCAAGCTTAGAATCACCAGCTTCAGCATCTTTGTGTCTGGCGCTCTATCACCACTTAACATTAGGTAGGGTGGAGTCATTTGCCTATCCGGTTATAGAAGTTATAGAATTACAAACTGAGAATACACAGACAGCAAAGGTGTTTAAAACTGGCAAATGTCTCCAATAATGACTGAGGTTTATCTTACCCACAAACAAATGAGAAAATTCAACACCATCGCTGTGTCGTCGTTGTACTTATGTATATCCATTAGCCGATCCAATGAAGGATTTACTACTTTTCAGTCTCGAAATTTTACTATAAAAGCTTGATTTTGAGATTTTTCTTAACCTGTATGCGAATTGTATTTAAATCAAAAATGTTATCATAGTAACACAAATCAAATCTCGAGACAAATATACTCAAATAATCTCTGTTAACTTTTTCACACGATCAAAGGAAACTAAATACTAGCCAACACCAACAAAGCTTGAACGCAATAATAATTAAAAGTATCTAAAATATTGGCCTACATAACCTCTTTCGAATTATATCTAAAACACTAAGCTCCTAAAGCCCTCTTTCGAGTAAAGAGAACATGCTATAATCATCAAAGCAAATCTGATTAATCTTTACTTACGCTGGCAACTTTTAAGATCTGTTATTGAAGGTAACTAATGTATATTTTAGAAAATCAAATGTAAGATAGGAGTAGTAATAGCATGAGACTTAAGGATTTACGATCGTTCCGATATAATTGCATACACTATTTTATTGTAAATACCCGCCTTTCGACCCTGGTTATTTTGGAAATTGTAGCAGATTTAAAAATAAAGAGTCTAAAAACTATTTGAGATATAGCAAAACGCGTTTTTCTATGGTTGCCAAAAAAGCGCAAAAGATATTTAACCATCATAATGAGAAACATTTTCATGCATATGAAAAAGATCGTATGCAGGCATGAAGTATAATTAAAAAGGCACATGACTTCTACTTTGTGATCAAACGATAACTTTTCTACGCTACGATACTATACTCACGTTCCAATTTACTCTTCTTTGTTTCAACATAAGTACCGATCACTGGCAGCGATGGAATGAAATACATTGTTAGTTCATTAATAGTTAAAATTATAAATAATTTTACATTATTCTGTAAATTTATACCCATACATAAATTGACAATAGAATATTACGACAGGAAACGAGGTTTTGAATAATAGTAAAATTATCTTTTCTGTAGAAACAAAATAACATAAGTAATTTATTACGATTACGCTAATAAACAGCGTATTAGTATTTTAAATAGAAATGTGACAGGAGTATGTTAGAAAAACCGACCAAGTGCGTGTCGTGCCACGCGCAGTGTAGGGTTCCGTAGTTGCCTGTCGTCTTTATTTTATTTTTTGTATCGGAAATTATAAAAACAATTTAGAAATGGTTTTTTTTGTTTTTTTTTTCAATGCATCATGTCACTATTAATGTTTTCTTCTAAGGAATTTTGAAAAGGTAAGAAATTTTCTTTAACCTTTGTTGAATGACTATTACTCTTGAACTAACAAATCTATCTTATCGTTATGACTTTCCTTAAAACTTCACGAAAAGCACTATTATCATGAATTATTTCAGGTTTTTCAAGCCGATAGTTTAGCTTTAGAGGCCCTACTCGAACAAAAATAAGTTTAATCTTTCGCAAACGGATCACTAAGTCGAAAAATAGTCTTAGGAACCCCTAATTTAAAAGGACCTATTCAACGATACCCCCACAAGATGGGATAGAGAGTGGAAAAAAATCATCCCCAGGTTACATGAACGCGATCTACCGTAAAAAAATATTTTTCATAATTTTATTGTACCATTTTGTCGGCGTGATTGATATCTCCACAAAATTACAGCACCCTAGTGCTAACAGTCTCCAAACAAAACCGAAACTGTAAGGGTTCCTTGTCAGAACTACGGCACCTCAAAAAAACAATTCAATTATTCGCACCTGATTGTGACGCTTTTAGAAAATTATTTTCTAGACTTTTAGTGGTATAAACCTAACTTGTTTCTTATATAATCAGGGCCGGATTTAGGGCAGGCGGGGCTGTGGACCAGCGGCCAACAGAGGACAACAGAGTTAAAAATACAAATTTCAACGGATCACAGGGGTGTTGAGTGTGAAATCTCTAAATCAGGCCTTGTATATAAACTTTTATAGGTATAATCTCCTCATAATAATAAGAAATTGAACAAATAATCTGAGGAGTTATGAAAAATTACTGTGGTATTTAAATGTATTAATTATTATTTATTATTTAATTAATTAGTTTATGAGAAAATAATAGGTCATTTTATAAAATTGACTTAAAAAGACGTGCAATTAAATATCAATTAAGTTGCAGTGTGATATGAACGGTATTGCTATAATATTGTGTTAAATACATACTGTTGCCGCCTTCACCGATTGAATGCTCCATGCAGTCAGTAAGGTCCTCGAATTGATAGTCACAATTGTCCCACGCGCATTCGTAGGTTGTTTCCATGGGCGTCTGAGAAAAAGAAAATTTTAACAGACTGTAATGCAAAAATTTATTATATAGCAAAAATTTATAAATTTATTCAAAATGAACTTCTAAAAAGAACAATAGAAAATTGCTAGAAATATACATAATAAACGAAGGTTGGGATGTAGACAAGTTTAAAAAAAAATTTTACTCAGTAAAAGCTATTTGAACAAAAAGTTCAACAAAATTACAAATCTGAAAGAAAAAATAAGCATTCCTTAGTAATTTTTTTTAGTCCAGCAGTCACTACGACCGCTTTAACGAAATCTTTTTTCCATAATCTGACAAAAGAATAATAAACTAAAAAATTTGTACACATACATGTTGTGAGAGTTCCCTCATCTCCTCGGCCAGCTTGGCGGAGGTCTCTTCGTTGCAACACTTGGCGCGCTCCTCCCAACTCTGTTTCGTGGATGCCGGCAGAGAGCGCCACTCGTTACCCACAATTCGTGATATCTCGCCTGTCAGGTAATAATTCAAATACGTAATATTAATTTCTCATTAATTCACGCACTGCAATCATTTAATAAAACTAAGACAGGTAGGTAGGATTTGGGGCGCCCGTCTGGGAAAGCGATCTCCACCATAAGATAAGGTAGGCCACGGCGCAAGTGATATTTTTAGTGTCGCAAGCGTCTAAACTAAAGGCTATGGTGGCTTACCATCAGGCGGACCATGTGCTTGTTTGCTACCCTTTTAACATAAAAAAAACCTTTTGAACGGTTTATTTAATAACGCAAGATTGCGACCACGGTCTGTAAAGGATCCGAAACATCAATACGTATTACGTACATTATGTACGGAACAAATAAACGGCACTCTGTACCTCTAACCTCTGTGTTCAATAAGTGTTTATTAAGTAATATAAAAAACCCATCGCATATAAGACAGTATTTAAATGAAGGAACTTATTTTATTTCATCTGTGGTATTAAATCGATTTAAAATCTCAAATATAAAACTGACTTTTTATATTAACAAGTAAGTATTTAAGCTAATATTATAATTGTTTTATGCCGCCAACTATGCATACATAAATTTCGTTTTTATTCATAAAATTAAACTAAAAGCCGGTTTCAATTGATAATATTACAGCAATTAAAAATGCATGCTTATGCCTGAAGCAGTGAGGTGCCGTCCATTAATCACGTGATGTTTTTTTTTGGCTTTTTTTAACCCACCCTTCCCACTTGGTGATACGTGGTGAGGTTTAAGACTATAAAGACTATATATGTTTAGTTATGTATTGAATCATTGTCTTAATTTTGTATATACATTGTATCATATACGAAGGCGTTATTAGCAGGCAAGCGATGTTACAGCCTAAGAATTGATTAAAAATGACTCAATAGGAAATTGGAAATCGTTTTATATATTCAATAACATATTATTGATAATTATAAACATTACTAAAGATGGAATACATAATAAGTTTCTTTTTAGATTTTTTCTTCTTTTAATAATAATTGGTCTTGCAGTGCTCTAAATGATATCAATCAAAGGTTGTGAAGTGAGCAAACCAAATTTGTCTCTGAATATGATAACACCATGATACAAGTTGAAGAATTGTTATTTTTAATAAAAGCAGATAATTAAGCCAACATAAAGAAATAGGTAATAGAACAGACAGTGTCAAAGGCCAAGAAGCAAAAAAACTACATCAGCTATCAAAATAATTAGGCTCGAAAGGGGGGTGTTGCGGTCCTCTTTGCGGTCCGCATCACCCCCCTTTCGAGCCTCACGTGATTAATGGTCAGCCCCTTACATAGTTGTGAATTCAGAAAACATATTACATTCAGCCATTGGAAAGGTCACAAATACTATTTTCAATGCACGCAAACCAAGTGGTGAAGAAGCTACCGAAATACGGTTAACCCAATACTATACAGCTTAAGCTTTACGCATGAGGCTATTAAAAGCGTCCAGTAACTGTAATTATTTAATTAGTTCAATACCTTATTGATATTATATTTAGAAAAGTATTAAGTAATTAAAAACACTTTATCAGTTGTATAAAAACATGCATTAAAAATTGCAACTTATCAGATGCTATTATCACGCTTGATGTGCATTTAAAATCTTAAAAACTTAAGATGCTAATATTACTTAAATAACTTCACGCAATCTACCAAACCAACAAAGCTTATCATTGAAATTGACAAGGAAAAACATTTGGTTCTTTCTTGAACACTACAAATTATGATCAAAATCAACATGCATTTGTGTTTGTTATATCGTAGTTAGTACGTATTCTGAAAGTAATATTCATTTCTTATTTTGTTATTTTTATTCTAAAGAAACAATATAAATTTAATTAAGATAAGGTTTTATGTACTTATTTCAGAATAGGCACAACTACGTGACGACTTTATATTTTTTTCATTCAGCGCCTACAATGAAACTACTAATTAAAAAAGTAACACCTACCCAATTTCAAACGTTTATCCTTGGATGCTAAATTTTACATAGATATTAAGTAAGATTTTATGCCAATATTAAATAAAAATTAGTCTTCACAGAATAGATAGGTTTTGTTGACTTGGTTCTGATTGTTGTATTGCTAACCTGTAATCTAGTATTAGTTGATTGTCTATGGTTGTAATGTAACAGTCTATATATATAATAAAGATGTCGGCAGTTAAAGAAGAAGTGTGGTTTTAATTATCTAATATAAAATTATAAAAAAGACTAAAACATGGCGCTGCAAATGGAAAAACTTGGAATAACAGGTACGGGAAACATGAAAGAAAAGTGGAATCTGTTTAAACAAAAGTTTGATATATATTTAACCGTGACCAGTTTAACAAAAAACAAAATTCTCACTGGAACGGACAAAGTAGCTCTATTTCTTAACTGTCTGGATGATGAAACATTGAAAATCTTTAATACATTTGAATTAAACACTACCACTACCACTCTTGAAGAAATTTTTAAAAAATTTGATAACTACGTGTTTAAGGGAACTAACGAAATCTATGAGAGATACATTTTTTTCAATATGACCCAACAAGGTCAATCTATAGGCACATTTGTCAATAACTTGCAATTACAAGCGCAAAATTGTGAGTTTGGAACACAGAAGGAAAAATTGTTAAGAGACAAACTAGTACTTGGGGTTGATAGCAAAACACTCCAAGCGTCATTTTTAAAAGAAAATAACCTAACATGGCAAATGGCGGTTGAAATGGCAAGAATTTTTGAAGCCCATGAAAAACAAATTGCGGTTATGCAAAAAAGTGATGAGGTAGAAGTTTTGGAAATAAAATCAAAATATAAATGTAAGAAATGTGGGACTACGCACAAGCCCCGGGAATGCCCAGCTTTTGAAAAAATTTGCCACAAGTGTGGGAAAACCGGCCATTTTTCAGTAGGCTGTTTTTTAAGGAATAAAGTTAATAAATATCAAAGACGTCCAGTGAATGAATTATCGTTAAACAAAAATCAAGACTTTGATGAGGAAAGGTGCGTATTTATCGGTTCACTCAATGTTGGGGATAAACAATGGTATGAAGATATAGTTTGTAATAAAGTAACAATAAGGTTTAAGATTGATACTGGATCTGAAGTAAATTTAATAACTTTATATGATTTTAATAAAATAGCAAATAGAAACTCAATAAAAAATTGTAACCTCACTTTAGTAACATTTGGTGGTTATCAAATTAAGCCAATAGGTTTGGCTGTACTACCTTGTGTTTACAAGAAAAAGGAAATTAATATAGAATTTATAGTGGTACATAATAATTGCACTACCATTATTGGTTTACCAGGTAGTCAAATTTTGGGTCTAATTCACAACGTGAACACAGTATCACTTGAAGAAAATGTTTTTGTTAAAAGATATCACAATTTATTTCAGGGAATCGGAAAATACCCTTATGAATATAATATAAAAGTGGAAAACAATTGTGAAGGTGTTATATGTCCACCACGGAGAATACCTTTAAGTTTAGTGAGTAAACTGAAATTAAAATTGAAAGAATTAGAAAATGCTGAAATAATCTCAAAAGTTGATTGTCCTACTAAGTGGGCCAGCAATATCACAGTGGTTGAGAAACCAGATGGTAGCTTAAGAATTTGTTTAGATCCAGTTTACTTAAATAAAGTTATTATTAGAGATTATGAATTAATTCCAACTCTTCAGGATATAAGAGCCAAGTTGAGTAGTAAAAAAATTTTTACATTGCTTGATTTAAAGGATGGATTTTTTAATATAAAACTTAATGAGGAATCGAGTGACCTGTGTACATTTAGCACTCCCTTTGGTTACTACAAATTCTTAAGATTGCCGTTTGGTTTGTCTTGTGCCCCAGAATACTTTCAAAAAGTAATGACTAAAATATTTGGTGATATAAAAGGCTTAGTTGTTTATTACGATGATTTAGTTTTGGCCACAGATAATGACCTAGAACATAATAATAGCTTAAATCTTATTATGGAACGAGCTAAAAGATACAATATCAAATTTAATTTAAAAAAATTACAATACAAAAAGTCTGAAATAAAATACTTAGGTCATATCTTTTCAGAAGAAGGGCTTTCAATAGATCCAGATAGAATTCAGTCTATTCAACAACTTAAGAACCCAAAAAACATTAAAGAATTGCAGTCTGTTCTTGGCATGTTAAATTATTTGAGAGAATTTATACCTAATATGGCTAACCTAACACAGCCACTTAGACAATTATTAAAGAAAGAAAATGTATTTCTATGGACTGAATACCATACAAAATGTTTTGATAAAATAAAATCTATTTTATGTGACCTACCTGTTCTTAGTAATTTTAACTCTGGGCTACCAATTGTAATACAGTGTGATGCATCTAAGTGTGGCTTAGGCTGCTGTCTCTTACAAAACAACAAACCAGTTGCATTTGCTTCTAGGGCCTTAACAGATACTGAAGTTAACTATTCACAGATTGAAAAGGAATTTCTGAGTATTGTATTTGCTTTACGAAAGTTTCATAATTATATATATGGATATAGGTTTACAGTATTAACAGATCATAAACCATTACTTAGGTTAATTAGTAAAGATTTATGGAAAGTGTCATCTGACAGATTACAGAAAATGAAAATGATTGTGTCTAAATATAAATTTGATGTTAAATACTTACCTGGAAAGCACATGTTCATAGCAGACTTATTGTCTAGAAATTTTATTAAAGAAAGTTATGAGCACGAGCTAAATATCAGTGGTACAGTTCACAGTGTAATACAATATGATAACATAGATCATTTTCAGTTAAAAGAAGCCACAACCGAAGACTCAGTTTTAAAATTGTTAATAAATTATTGTAAAACATCTTGGCCTAAGAAATTAAAGGAAGTTCCAGATAGTGCTAAACATTATTGGAGTCTAAAAGAAGATATATTTTTTGAAAATGGAGCCTTATTTTTCAAAAATAAACTTATTATTCCGGAAAAGTTAAAATTAAAAATATTGAAACTTTTACATGAGG